CTGTATGGGAGAATCTTGACCTCGATCGCTGGTACAGACCTGCGTTCAGTCTGTACTGGCGACCTCGGTCAAGATTTTCCCATGCAGACCTCCCGCTCGGTTGATAAGAACTAAGTATCAACCCAGTACACTACATACCTCATCCTCTCTTTTAGCTGACTCCTCAAAGTAACTGCTAGAATTCCTGGATTTCTTTCTGTCTTTTTCTTTCACCTTTTGTTTCTTTTCATACTCTTTTGTGCTTGCAGTAGGATCATAATCCCCAATTTCTCCAAAGATACTGCAATAAAGCAAAAAATATATATTACTTGTAAATTACTATAATTTAATTTCATATAGATTACTATTAAGAACAGAGGTCATGACTTAACTTTTAGAAGTTAGAACTACTCTTAGCACAAATCACATCCTCGGAGACCCAGGGGCTGTGAGTCAATTTCAAGTTAAGGGCAGGAGAGGCCAAGGGGACATTGTCTTACAAGACTAGTTCCAAACGGTCGCAGTCATTCTGGCATCTGATTGGTGCCAGAAAATCTTTGTGTTTTTCTGCCCAATCAGAGTGAAATGTGCTTTGGAGTCCTTTCGTGTGTTTTAATACGGACATATACAAGAAGCTCTGTTGTTTGGGCCGTGCGATGAAGCTTTGCCCGAGGTGAAAAGTGTCAGTCTTGGCACACAATGTGAGAGAAATCGATCAGATTGTCCGTGAAAATCTTACCGGTAATTATACTGAATACCTTCAGAGGTATCACAAGAGAACGTGTTTAAAAGTTTGCAAGGTTCATATAAAACATAATGGTTGCAGGCATTGATATGTCCCTTTAAACGTTAGATGAGATGTAAGCCTAAATCTTTCTAGATTTTTCGTATAATTTGCTGTAACTGAAACTTTTCCAATCCCATGAAGCTATTTCGTCACACGGGCCACCCAGGTATGTGGAGCAACTGGTGCTTACGCAGCTTTCTGTGCGTGCCAAAATCTAATCTTATCTTCACCTGAAAAAATAGAAAAGCTAAGCGTGGAAACTTTTGTTTATTGGATGTGGGTAGATGACCCTGTACTAAGCTGACATTTACAAGAAAGCAAACCTGCCCTTTCCATCCAATATTTCCCTGTATTTAGTTTTGTTTTCCCCAATGAAAGCAGCTGCATCGATTCCCAATGATCTCTTAAAGGTATTTAACTCGGTCTTCAACAATCGACAAAAGAGGTGAAATGACACAATGACTAAGGGAGTAGAAGAGGATCCGTGGCCTTTCGAGCTCAAGAATTTGAACACTCTACTAAGTAGGCAGCAGTTGAAAGATTAAACTCTTCCTAAACCCCTTCGGTAACTGTTCAAAAACATCTCTACTTCCCACGATGTGCTCGTTAATTAGTTTTTGTTCAGATTTCAATTAGCTAACTGGAAACACAGCTAAGCTTTCTGTAAGCGCTTCCTAGAGGTCGTCCACGAACTTAACGTTCTCTGCAACTTTGGCCATTGTTTCCTCTGTGGTTTTTTTTTTAGTCTCTTGCATGAAGAAATATATCATGACCGCACAACCGTTTCGTTTTAGAGAGCAAGGTTTTTTCGTGTCCTAACGGCTTTTTTAAATACAAATCGCACACGCTATGAATAACAATTTCTTGGCGCAATCTACAACTAATTAAGTGTGAACAATAGAATGGTGCATACTGGGAATAAATGACTAAATAACAAAACAATTATGGGCTAATTAAATATGCAATGGCATATTACAACAGCCATATTGTAAAAGACTTACTACAAAGCAAAGATTAGATTTTGTCGTGCACAGAAAGCTATGTAAGCGTAAGCGCCAGTTGCTCGACATACCTGCGTGGCCCATGTGACGAAATAACTTCAGGAGATTGGAAAAGTTTCAGACACAGCAAATTGTACAAAAAATCTAGAAAGATTTTAGCTTACATCTCGTTTAACGTTTAAAGCAACATATCAACGCCTGCAGCCATCGTGTTTTATACGAAGCTTGCAAACTTTTATACACGTTCTCTTGTGATACCTGTGAAAGTATTCAGTATAATTTCCGGTGAGATTTTTGCAAACAATCTGATCGATTTCTCTCACATTGTGCGCTGAGACTGACACTTTCCACGTCGAGCAAGGCTCCATCACACAGCCCAAACAACAAAGGCAAGCAACAGAGCTTCTTGCATATGTGCGTGTTAAAACACACGAAAGGACTCCAAAGCACACTTCACCCTGATTGGGCAGAAAAACACAAAGATTTTCTAGCACCAACCAGATGCCAGAACGACTGCGACCGTTTGGAACTAGTCTTGTAAGACAATGTCCCCAGGGGCTCTTCTGCCCTTAACTTGAAATCGACTCACAGCCCCTGGGTCTCCGAGGATGCACAAATCACGGATTTGTAAAGCATGTTCAATCTGGCCCAAAAAACTAGGGCAAGTGGAGCAAGAAGGCAATAACAGGCTGGATCACTGTCTCAAGACCAAAATTATTTCCTACTGTGTGGAAAACCCCCCATTTTGTAATGTATTCTAAATACACACTCCTTATGAGCTCTCACCTTTCATCCGCTTCAGGCCCTCTTATCTTTTGTCCCTGTTTATCATTTTTGTCTCTCTCCTTTCCTACACATGGAATCAGTAACAAATACTAAATTACTACAAGTTCTTCATATCCTTAAAATATGAATAGTGGAGAATATATCACAAAATTACATCTTACCTACTTGTCTTTAAAAATCAAAAATTACTGGATACAATGCAATGTTAATACACAATTTGAAGATTATTTCAACAGGTTTACCATATACCACCTACTTAAAAAGTCAGCTCTCAAGCATTCCAACATTTATGAACAAATGATCATTCAATAAAATCTATTATTGTTGCTGGCTGAGTTTGCAGCCCTGCGTATACTGTCTATAAAAACCAGACACAAGACCCATTAACAATGAGAGTGATTATCATCTAATTTCTCCAGCTTACAATATCACCCCTGAATCAAACATTAATGTCAGGAGAATAAAGGAAATGATCACCAATTAAAGAAGCTCTTGATTGTTATTAAAACCAATTCTTCTTGTCAACAACTTGGGAAATGTATAGAGAACAGTATGGAGAATATACATGGTGTCATGTTAGAGAGTAAAGGATTGACCATTTCACTCCCAAGATCTCAATTATAGTTCTTCTCCTCACTGTCTGCCATACAATTCTTATGATATTAGTTTGGAGAATTTAGCATTGAATCAACTACTTATTCCCGACTTAATATTTTACTTTTAAATTATTCTTGTCACTTGTCTGCTTGATATTGTGTGGATATTGTAAGGAGAAATTCTGTCTTGGTCACTCATAGGAGTTTAAGGATAATAAGCTACCTTTATCCTTCTTCTTGACCTTTTTCCCTCCTCTGGTGCCTTGGCGTAAGTACAATAAAATCTGGGTCAATTTGTTGATGACAATGTCATTAGTAGTGAGTGTAGCTTGAGTCTGGGAAAAAATGGAAGATATTATTAATTGTAAAGTAACAGTCAAGACACATAACACAAGACAGTTTATCCTGGCGTGGCATCTCATACATCTCTTAAAATTTTCTTCATTAAAAAAATCTCCATAATGTCATGCGTATTATTTAGTTGTGTTTTTCCCCTTCTTTGATCCAGTTCAATTGAGTGGCATGCATTTCAGTGTCTAGATCTTTTCAAAATTAAAGTCCTTTTATCCTACCATCATGAAATGAGAAGAGAAGATTTACGCAATATCACTAACTTCAATTCCAGGGCAATCTGCTTTACTCCTGATAAGAGTTGTGGGTATATCACTCTCAGCATATTCATCTTCAATGTCAAACACGTATGCCTGGGCAAAGAATATCAGATGACTTTTAATGTTTTTATTTACTTATAGTAACAATCAAAAGAAAATCTCGCATGCAATACACACCTCCTCTAGAGCAGAGGGCATGCCTTCCTTCCCCCTTGCCCTTCTCCTCTCCCTTCAGGAAAACTGAAGAACAAAAACATTCAAAATAGAAAAGCAATGGATTCCAAATGCTGCACAAATAATTGCACTCTAACTTGTCTTGTTATAAGTTTAAGCTACTTTATGTTTCAGTTCAAAACATAAATAATATATTTGGAGGCCAGCAATACTTTCCATTTGAAGTATAGTCCAGCAAGTTTGTCCACATATCAAAGAAATGCAAGCTGCAATGAGCATTATTTATTTATGCTGGGCAATAGTTAAGAAGAAAACAATGATTGACTTCCTGGTTCTCAGTGGGCTTCAATTCAGCCCCAACCCTTCCCTATTGAGTTTCCATCTCCGATAAACCCCCTGCTTAATAAAAAGGCCAGTAATAATAAATCAATTAGTCAGTCCCCCCCCCCACCCTCTAGTTGGCTTGTTAGTTAAGCACATTCTTAGCATTTGTATTGTCAGTCAGTGAGACTTTAGAACTGAAAGTAAACATTTTCATTCCTTTATTACATACATTAAGTTTTGTAGACCACAAAATTTAAAAAACCCTTAATAAACTTAAGTTACTGTAACAGTAGTTAAGTTATCAAATACCATTCGCCCTGGCTGAAATAGTTCATTTCTATCTGCTGGCCGATTTCTGAACAGCGATTTGTAGATCTTTTGACCTGTGGACCAAAAATAACGTCATCATCCACATATACATTTCCCAACATGATAAGTTTTGTCAACAAAAATACAAATTACCTTCCAAAATAAGCTGTTGGGATACTTTCCGTAACATTTCAGCAAGTTTCTTCATGAATACAACAATGCCAAATTACTCATTTCAAGAGAATGCCCATAAGTAATCCAAACTTAGTCTAGTGATTCAAAAGAGAACTCCTTACACAACTCTAATGATGTTTCTTAGGTGTCCATCAACATGACTGACAACATTAAATTTTTATTCAAAACTTTTCTCACTAGACATTCAGACTAAGGATTGACCTCTTCATATCATGAAGTAAAAAATCAATGACTTACCCAGTTTTGTTGTAAACTCAATCTCATTTGCACCATCTTCTTCTTCCCTATCAACAAACAAAAAGAATCAGACATGAAAATCTTGTTTTTATCAACTGAGTTGATAATGTAAATTAACCTCTGTAAATAGTTTCAAAGCTGACATTTTGAGCATTAGCACTTTATCAGACCCAAGTATTACTAACAGTATAATGTAGTAAACATATTGAGCTTTTCTTCTAAAAAATATGAGTCAATTAAAGATAAAATTGTTTGGTCTTTGGGAAATGACCAAGGCCACAGACTAGTACATAATAAGTACATACTTGTCCCTTTGCTTGTGTTTTGGTTTTTTAACACTCAGTTCCTCATTTTCCTCATCTTCCTCAGCAATTTCACTACGAACCTGATTAAACAAAAAGAGAAATAACACAATAAGAACCACTGGTCATTGTGAGACACAAAATTTTATACTCATGCTGCAGTTAGAAGTTGGGTATCCTGATGGTACTAATTAAAAACAGCAAAATGCTACAAAGGCCTCGTAGAAAGAGTAAAGGTGTAAAGGATTGAAAAACCTAGCCAAGAATACTTTGGATCAAGGAAACCTTCACAAGAATTGAAATTTGGCAGAGATCTTAATAGCCATGAGAGCTGATAAAGAATTCTGAGGCTGCTATGTAGAAGGTCAAAGTAAATGTTCATTGTCCGAGCTTTTTTTTCAGATGTGGAGAATATATATATCTTATTAGACGTTTTGTTATGTAGTATCGCTGAGTATTTTTACGAGTTGTGCCGTATTTTGACAATCCCGTAGGGTGAGTCAAAATACAAATAATGAGTAAAAATACTCAGCGATACTACACAACAAAACATCTAATAAGTTATTTATTATCCAACATGCCAAACTGTTATTTCAGTGCGGGTGAATTTCGCGGATGTTTAWTTACGGGGAGTGCGTGACAGAAGTATGCGAAGCGGAATGGAATTGGCGTGTTGTTGTGTTGCTGTTTCTATTTTCTTCATTAAATGAAGAAATTTTCTGGTCGTCAAGCTGTTTTCCTTCGTTCGATTCATCTAATGAACTTGGACCTACATTTGCCAGCCATTCTGACTCTTCGTCGTCGGAAATATGATTCAAATTGTCTGGCACTTTTTTTTTTCATAACTACAATCCAATTCTTTGCTTGCGCAATGCGAGAAAACCTGTTTAACCGGTACTCTAGAGTACAAATACCGCGTGATATTTGTACTCGTCTATGGCATTATTCGTACTCGTCTAGGTGTAGTTGGATAATAATGCATTGTTATTTTACACAAAGTCTGGTACTATTCCCCTGCTAATGCTGACAAAGCCTGTAAACAATTATGCAATGTCAGCGTACACCAGACTACTGACCAGACTATCAGCAAGCATAACTCCTTAAAAATACTGATGCCAAACGTAAAACAAACTTACTCCTTATCCACAACTATGTTGAATAAAACCTGACATTTTGAGTATTGACCATTCCTCTGAGCCAAGAATGAGGGCCTTTTTCTCAGGCAAAGTGCTAACACTCAAAACATCTGCTTCAGAAACTCTCTACAGTGCTAGACTTACATTTTCAACTCAGTTTGAAATGAACATTGAAAAAAAGGACTTTGACTACATAATTACCGGTACCTTCATTCTATTCAAAGTAGCTGGAGTTCTGTTTTGTTTCATTATAAAGTTTACTCCCATGTTTTTTCATATCATATTGTTCAGAGTTTGACTCACTAATACGTAGCTAGTCATTCCTGTTTGAACCAGTTTACAATTATACCCTTAACTTATTAGAGAACACCCCTCTTGGTATTTGGAAGTTGGAGTTAGGAGAGCAAAGTAGTCAGATCTGAGTTTTTAACTAAAGTTTTGTCTGTTTGAGTTATGCAACATCGGAGTTTCTTTATGCCTTTAAGACAGGATCAGATATAAGTCGCAGTCTATTGTATTGTTTCATTTTCCTTTCAATTCCTTTTCTTTTGTAATTAGCCTTTGTGCTTTTCCTTATCTTGTGCATTGTAATTTTCCCATTAATTTTTTGTTTTCACCGCAAGTGTACAATATTCAAATGAGTTGATGATCCGATTAAATGCTGTTGAATCAACTTGTTTTGCCTATTTTTGCACTGTGGTTGGCACTTCCCCAACTCCAGTGCACAACATCCCACATCTATTGCACTGGGTATGCGACACAGTTGACAAAACCAAATTACCTTGTTATACCCCCGCCAATGCAGCTCCACCCACAGTTTCTTTAGAAACTTACCACCTTTATTCATATCATGGTAAATTAAAGTAAACAGTGGATCTTATAAACTCACCTTCTGTAACAAGGCAAAGTCTAGGCCTTTCACAAGATGAGTGTGCTCCATGTCACCACCAAGAAACTTACTCTCCTGGATAGCTTGGCGACGGCGCTCTGCTGCAGTGTTCCTATTGTAGAATATAAGGACATATAACAATCTAACTTATCAGAGAACAACGAGCATTATATTGGATAATCCTCACCGGTAGGCAAAGTAAAGAGGAGTACCAGCTCTGACAATGTATTATGATCTGGTTATGTTTTGTCCATGATTTAGAATACAATTTTTCTTTTCCCCTAAAAGTAGGGTACAGCAATGGGTGATGATGAGGTTTGCACAAACAAATTTTAAAATCAATGTTACTTTTTTAGCACAAACATAAATTATAAAAAAATTTGCCTAGGATAAAATTACACCCAGCATACGTCAGAAAAGAAAAATATTGTTGAAACCTCATAAAACAGGGCTCATAAAACAGGACTCTTAAAACAGGATTCACAAAGTACATGTAGGGCACACACTATCCCTCTAGCCACCAAATGTGAAAAATTATTTCAGAATACATAGTTTTTTTTTTTTCTTACGTTGCCTCTGCTGTGGGACCAACTGCTCTGTAATTGGCTGTTGCGCTCAGGGTGTCTGTTGATTGGTAGTCAGGATTAAGACCATCTCGTCGTTCTCTGGCCTTAAAAAAACAAAACAAAATGAGATGAAACAAAAATCTCTCACCTCCTTCTATTTGGTTAGTAACTTACAGTTAAGACAAAGATCAAGTTTTCTTCTGTAGCTATACGAGACCAAACAGCATGGCTGGTTACACATAAATCAAAAGGGAAAAATAATGATCCGTTTGAAAATTTCAGGTTGGCTTATGATCGCAAGGATAGTGAGATCAACCAAGTACAGTTCAGAACAACTGCCTATAAATCACAAATAACAGCTTTTGGCGACAAATACTACAGTAGAGTGAAACCCTGTTACATTTTAATTGACCAATTGCAATTCTCTTCATAAATTATATGATTTATCACAAGAGATCAGCAGAATGCAGTTGTTCTAAAATATGGAATTACAAAAATGCTTCTCCTGAGCAAAGTTTCCTGTCACTCACTCTATCTCTGTATTTAGTTGCAAGCTCCTGCTCTCTTTCCTCCTCCATCTTCTTGAGTTTTGCATAATATCTAAAACAAAAAGAGGATGTTAAGAAACAATTTGAGACCTGAATTTACTTCCTCCATCAGCTTTAGAATCTCTTTATGGTGGCTAATTCACATGAAAACCAAATTATTATACAATACCCCCTTCTTCCACTGACATAGCACCAGAGTTTCTTTAAAAACTTATCCCTTTCACAAAGCTACCTGTTTTGTTGCTTACTGAGTAAAAGGAGAACACTGTTTTTAATAAACTCTACGTACTTCTTCTTTTTCCTCCTTCTTGACCAAGGATCATCATCGTCTCCTTCGACTTCAGCATCATCATCATCATCATCATTATCTCTGTTTAAGAGGTTACAAATACAGTCAATTATCTTTACCTATCAACTCCAAGGATCCAATTTGAAATTCTTCCTTCTAGCTACCAATTATATTTCTCAACTTGGTTTTGAACGAGGATTTGGTGTGAATTTAAAAAAAGGGTTGGATCCTCGCTTATATAATAGTCTTTTTTTTCTTATTTTGAGTTTTCTGGTAAATGTTTTGAATTGTAAGGACCACATATAATAGAAAAGTGTTAACACTAATTCCCAATGGAAACAAAAAAGGATTCAAGTTAGCCTATGTACAAGGTAACTAAGAGTAAATAACTGAAAACATGGGTCATGATAAATCAGAGCCTGTTGAAGTTACTAGGGGTTCAATTTAACTGAGGTCAAGTTAGCAGGGTTCTACAGTACACACTGGCTGCTTTTATAAATGAAAGACTTGAAGTGTCCTTATTAATCTCCAAAAAAATTGAACAAACACAAATACATTAGTGGAATGCTGAAGTCAAATTAAGAATGAAGTGTTCTTGCGGTGTACATAATTATCTTTAGAATATCCTTCAACCAATTACTTACCTGAAGGCATTTACAGGCCTTGCTTTAATTAATCACACATCTAAGGTTGTGAAAACACATCTTAATTCCTAGTCTATCCAAGGAGCATTAAAATTTTGCTGGAGATAAATTTCTCAAATTGGCATATATTCAGCTTTTGCTTTAAGTACTTTTTACAGGTCAACAGAAAAAGTTGAAGACCTGCAAAATTTAAATGCCACAAGATACCTCAAGTTCATTCGTTCAACATAGGATAGTTATTTCAAGTGTTCCATATGGAATTGTGATTTGGGGGTCAGGACCCAAGCTTAAAGATCTAGAAATGATTCACATCAGGGCTGCCAGGCTGATTCATAAGATACCAAATAGTTTTAAGGATAGTGATGTACTTTCTAAGGCTGGCTGGATGCCTTTAGAGTATTTTTATAAGCTACGTATCTTAACTATTACTTATAATGCTTATTATAATTTAGGGTTGTGGGAAATTAATTGCTTGGTGACCAAGAACTCTAACAGCTATAACCTAAGGAAATTCCTGAATGTTGTACTTAATAGGCCCAAACCGAACTGGGTCATAGGTCCTTTGCTCATAGATCTGCGGTAGCATGGAATGCACTACCAGATAATCTTAAAGATTCTCCAAATTTATCTATTTTTAAATATAACTTAAAACAATCCAAGCAAACTGTCATGAATATTAATTTTGAAAAGGAAGGTAATGTTATACAAAAAATGAAACCAAATTTTCACTATTACTAAAATTTTATGGTTTACATACTTTATTCAACTTATAAATTGTATCATATTTGTATTTTATATAATTATAGACTAATTAGTTTAGGCAGGTCCACATCAGCTGTAAATTTGCGTAAATTTTTAACCTGCATTATCAAATAAAGTTATGTATGTATGTATGTATGTATATGTTGTAGTTCAATTTTATCCTTGGTTCAAATTTTATTTTCCTTTGTTCTCGGTCATGTTAATGTATGATGATGAGTTTGAAACAAAGGAAAATAAAATTTGAACCAAGGATAAAATTGAACTACAACATATATATCAACACATCAAGTATAGACAGCTCACCTACTGCTACGATGTGAATGGATACTGCTTGGCACGCTCTTACTGCTGTGACTTGATGACTTTGTTGACGGTGGAGCTACAGATGGCACCCCAGACCGAGGGGTCATCAAAAGTTTGCGAAAATCTTCATTGGTCAAAGCTGCTGGCACCCTAAAAGTTTACAAACAAATCATACTTCGAAAATTTCCTCCATCCACTGATTAGGAACAAAATCTAGTTGAATTAAGACTTCAAAAATCTATCGAGACCAAAACAGTGTTCATTATCTCCGAATTATAAGGTCTTTGTAGAGGTTTCTTGCAAGCGTCCGTGGCCATGCCAAGCTGTGATCGACATATATACATCGGGTAACCTTATGCACAAATTAACAAGAATTTTAAGATTTAAAGAATCTAAAATTCATGAGCTAACGTTAAATTTATTGTGTTTCTGCTAAGATGGTACAGAAAATTGCCCAAAAATAAATGATAACAAAAACTAAGCTGCAAAAAGTGCATAAATAAAAACTAAGTTCAGGCGACGTACCCTCCGCCATGATGAGATGTGTAGGAACCCGAAGAAGATGGCGGCGCCAGGGGATTTGAAAACACTTCAACACCTGGAGAATATAACGAAGTCGTTAATAAATACTTCCCTTGATACGTATGGCAAAATAGCTGCTGATCAAGGACCGTTTATGCCAAATTACTAGAATTAAGGTTTAGATACCTTCGGATGGCATCGCTCTGATTCTGTTGTGTACAAAGGAAACGGGGAGACTAAGTAAGAATGAAAATAAGGCTTGGTCACTCTGACTTGCAATGTTTCAAAATGGCGGGCATGTATTGAGTGATGGTGTTGGGTACTTTTAGGTAACTTACGCAATTCGTAAAGGAACTTATAACTGGCGTACTTTTCGTTTACCTGCTGATTTGCTTTGAGAAGGTTTGGGGCTGTGGGAAAGGGAGGTTCGTAATCAAGATATTCTGATGATCCATAATTCACAGTCTAGCAAGCCTGTGAGGCTCCCATTGGCTCTACTGTAATTATAAGAGCGTCTCGCGGAGTCTACGAGAGTCAACCTGGGCTGTATCGTTTACTGTTAGCAGAGATCATAAGCAGTTCATTCTCTCTTTCCGGTGGGAGATCGAGGGATCTGCAAGACTCCTTGTAAACCTCCCTGTGCTTCGTGAGATCAAAATTAAGGCACTCGTGCTATATAGAGGAATTTGGTAATGTCAACTAAGTTGAAATTGTAAATTGGCCACCGTAAAGAATTAAAAAGCTGACATTTCGAGCATTAGCCCTTCATTCGCTCTGACGAAGGGCTAACACTCGAAACTTCAGCATTTTAACTCTTTATGGTGGCCAATTTACAATTTTAACTTAGTTGATATTACCAAATTACCTTGTTACCCCCACCGATGCAGCACCACAGTTTCTTTAGAAACTTACCCCCTATATAGAGGAATCGCTGTCTGAGTGCATGCACAAAACTGCATGAACACTATGACGTGATTTTATATGTGTCATCATTCATAACAAATTCATGTCAATTTTCCAAAAAAATCACAAAATTCCAAATTCCAAATTCCAAAATCACAAATTTAGATGTTGTAAAAGAACACAATGTAGCTTCCAAGAGTGAATCTTTCCAAACTCCCTACTTCTCCCCAGAGAAAATTACAGAGACATTCAAAGAGATGCATCTGCCCTCTCACTTAAAAATTTGTCATTTTGTGTCTTTGATGTGTACCCTCTAAAGAGTAGGAGACTCTCGTAACAGGAAAGTGAAAATTTTCTCCTGGCCTATGGGTAGCCATTGTAAGTCTAGGTGAGCCAGTTTCTAAAAATCTTATCACAAACAACTTATAATCATAGAAAAAATACATAACAGTTAGAGAAACGAAAACATCAAAATGGTTGTGAAGCAACCTGCTCATAGGTTTATGATCTGTAGGCACAAAGTGTTATCTTAACTATTCTACTCTTTCAGGTATTGAAAACCACCAGTTAGTGTCTGTAGTGACATGGAGAACTATATCCCCAAGTTGTCACCTAGAAACTCCTTGAAGCACATCACAGAAGACAGACTGAGTCAAATTTTAGAAACTTTTCATAATGCGGATGAAGAAGGCAAGGGATTTTTGACAAGTGAGGATGTCAAAGTAGCATTTGTGTCCCTTTTTGGTTACAAACCATCCAAAAATGAAGTAGAACAGCTCATGGGCAAAACACAAACAGCAATATCCACGGTGAGCGGTTTGTCACACAGTGACCAACTGACTTCTACAAAGCCAAAGGTCTTTGGAGGTGAACAAGTCTCTAATCATAAGGGTATGTCTTTGGAACATTTCACAGAGATAGCAAAAAAGAAGATCTTGGCTGAAGATGACAGTGACGAAATTCGTCAAATGTTTATTGCATTTGATGCTATGTGCCGTGGTTTCATCACATTGGATGTGACTAAAAATATATTTCAGCATGTTGCACCCTTTTTGGACTCTGTTGCAGTGGAGAAGCTGTTTTGTGAGGCAGATATGGATCGAGATGGAAGAGTGAGTTACAGAGATTTTGAATTCATCATGAAATATGAGCTGGATGAGTTGCTGTAAAAATGGCTACCTTGCATTTTATTGATGCCTAAAAGGAAGTGATCAAGGCAATAGAAGAAAACTCAATTCTGAAGAGCACAAAACATGCTATGTACTGAGTTAAGCGTAACACTTTGTTGGTATTTGAATTAAATAAACCTGTTAAATTCTTGTGGAGACTGGCTATTTATCTTATACAAGTAGTTGAAACAAATATAACTCAATGATTTCAACAAAAAATGAATTTACCACAGAATTTGAAAGCACCTGAGCACTTACTTTAAAACAATTATTGGCCTTGACTCCATCTCTAAGATTATTTGAGTATATTCAGCAAACATGTTATGACAGTTCTCAAGCTTTTTCAGGTAAAAATTTTTATCTTGATCTAACACCAAATTCTCATAACCAATTTAGAAAGAAATGATTGGACCTAGAAGGGAGAGTTACAAATCAGATGTAAGGGTTAAGTCAAACTGCCTTTTTCTTAGGCTTATATTAATTGAAGGACTACCACTTGAAGAGTTAATATCAAGCTCTCATCAACGTTCCAACGTAATAAGTAGCCACTTTCAGAGGAACACGGACTTCGTAAAAAACTGAACGACACTTACCCTTCTTCATTTTTTGGGGGGTCTAATAAATCTTAAAACGCTCAGAAACATCCGTTCAGTTTTCAAACTGGGATAAAAGGGGCGTTTTTTGAGAATTAGACAGCTAGGTAGCAAATAAGGAAAAATGAGCACTGAATACATCACCTATTTCCTCTACCGATGCGCGTTCACGCCCGGTAGGTGGTATCTTCATAACACAAGCTTCACCGGATGTCACGAACTTCATTTCGCACCGGAAATGACCGAACATATTTAATTTCCCCAGGACTCGCGCGAGATGAAATCAAAGAGAGAGAACTGAGGGATTGTTTTGATCGAATATTCCGGCCGGCATGACCCAAGTGACCCTTAGCGATTAAAGAAACGAAGGAATTTTGCTGAAAAGACATGTAACTATTCATTTCATTTCCTGTGGGTTTTTAACACTGCTTTTGGCATGAATGAATCGTGACAGGTATTCCTTGAGTTCATGAAACAGGACTGTTTTCAAGATCTAAATTTCCACATCATTAAATGTTTCATGACTTTTCTCATTGGTGTAATGTTTCAAAACATGATCGGAACGTGCGGTTAAACTTTGAAGTTTATCATTAAGAGGTTTCTTTATCTTTGTCAAAGTATCAGGCTAAAGTGAGTGATACTCGATAGGTTCTACACTTTTCAGTAGGGCCAATATATATCTCGTGCTTTCTAATTCTTAGAAGAAAGTAATCACATGAAAAATTCCACGCAAGTTTCTCATTTCCCAAGGGGAGTGAGGGATGCAAGCTGGTGTCACGATGGAAAGTTAGAATAAGGAATGACAAGGTCTAAGATTCTTACTTTTTTAATTGATCAATGTTGAGGAAGACAGTAGAAATTGCATTGTAAAACGTCTTTCATTGCTGATGACACGCGAGATAAAACTCTTAGAGTGCGTTCCGGCATGACTTGTCAGCGCGAAATTTCCTGCACGCGAGGAATTTTTGCAGAATGGCACAAGAGAGCTGTCAAGGGCTTGAACAATAATAGCGCGCAATCCAATGGGCCAATCAAGCGGATCTCGTAACAATTACCACACAACATGGGCGGAGAATTACACAGGCGAAGTATTTCAAAGATTTGAACCGCATACAATATACCGAGCGCTATTAAAAGAGCAAGCTTCTTATTGGTTTATTTGCTCAAACAATGCATATATCAAACACATCGATCTTCCGAATAATAAATTGTCCAAATACTAGACTGACCATAAATTTGGAAGGCTCGAATGCATATGGAGGCGAATTCCTACGGGCCTCTGCAAATTTGGCCCTCGTTTTAGCAGAATTTGTGGTTTGATGTGTGACGCGGAATTCCAACTATGGGACAATGCTAATGAACTGACATGGCCGCGAAATTGACGAATTCAAATTATCGAGAAACCGCTGTAGTGTGATCACAGTAAGCTAAACATGGACGCCAGTAGAGAGTAGGGTTGCAAAGTGTGGCTAAAACGCCATGCCAAAGAAGAAAACATGCGAAGTACCGCTTCCACTAGGTTGGGAAGAAGCGAGAGACTTCGATGGAAGAATTTATTACATCGATCACAACACGAAACAAACTTCTTGGGTCGATCCGCGAGATAGGTAAGTGAAAAGACAGGGGCTAGCGAACCGTAGCGAGAATGATGGTCGAACCTAGTTTTCGATTGTATTTTCCCGAAGCTCAAGCGGTCATTTTCTCCATGTGGCTCGCAGAATCATCATTCGAACATTCTAAAGTTTCTTTGATAAGTGAATGACCGCTTCTTCGGCGAAAAGGGTTTCTGATCTCGCAGTGTTTTGCAAAACTATGTGTAGAGTATGTCTGTTATCCGCAAGTATTAATGCTATTTTTATGGAATTCACTCATTACCGGCGATGTATACGGTTTAAATAGGGAAGATTGCCCACCAAAGTGTACTTCAAGATTTTATATGTGATTTCTACTTTCTATCTTCAAATCAAAACTGTGGTGATTGCTTGGAAGCTCGAGTTAAGGTGGTCTAGTGTGCAACGTTTTCAACTATGCCCGCTCTATTCTTCCGTTTGAGCTTTTTATTCCAAATATTTCAGCTATGTAGAAACCTTTTTACGACTAAAATGGAGAAATCGACCGTCTCATCGGTTCCATTCGTTAAGAAACCAAGAATTTCGTTTCTGGCCTCGAAATGTAATGAACCTTGCGTGAACTTCTGCACGCCAAGTTCTTACTTATCTTCAATTGTAAAGTGCTGGAAGAATACCTTGGTACGTCAAAGTGAGCTTATATTTAATACCAGAAATGGCTTAATGCGATAACTTTCATTCGTTACTTTCAACGTCGTTTTTGGGGTAGTTTTGCTTATTTTTAAGACCGGTTTCAGGATTTGACGTGAATGGATACCTCTCTCCATACCACCCTTGTCTTCTTGTGCATTTCAAACTGTTTCTAGGGAAGCGACCGTCAGCGAATTAAAAACCCTCGTGACTTTGAGTTCTCACTCTATATCACTGGATTGATCGCTGTCTTTTTTAAGTTGTAAATGAGACTTACTCGATGAAGTAAACTCTAGGCACGAAATGTTTCTTTTGTTTTAGATACACAACCAACCGTATGTTCTAACGTCTTCAGTGATTCCGTAAGAAACCCCTTGTACTAGTACGCATGGGACATAAGCCGTAACAACATATATTTTTAATGAAAGCTTATCATAACACGTTACCTACATCTAAAAATAACAAATTATGTCTCATTGTTTCGTATCGGCCACGTTTTACGCGAAATTATGCCGCTGCTTCATGATTTTGGTTTCCAACATCAGAGGAGCTCCCCGATATAACCAATTTGTTGTTTCTTTCTCGTCGTAGTCGTCGTTTGAAAGGATATTTCTTAATAATTTCCGATATGGCGGGGCAAATTTGCATATCGGCTGTATACCACATTAAAAGAAATGGAGAAATATTCAAGTTCGCACCAGTATTGAAATGTCCTGGATTTTATAAATTCGAAAACTTACCTACTGTTTACGAGTATTGTTTTGATGACAAATGAATTCAAACTCAGAAACTATGTTTCGTTTTTAATTCAACATGACATATCTAATAGCTCAAATTATACTCTGGTTTGATTGTGACCTTGTTTGCTTCAGTAATTAGTATTTATTGTACACCTCTGTGGTAATTTTTTTAAGGAAATGGTAGAAAGTGTGCAACAGGATAAATTTTAAATGGAGGAATTTGACAAAGCTTCTTATTTTGGGCACCATGCCAACATGATTAAATTATTTAATCTGTTTCTCCCCTGGAACATATGTCATGGTCGAGCTTTGGGCATACTGTTCTTATGCATATGCCAACAGTCATTGTGGTGTTGTGGTGAGAATCCTGCAAAATTTTTAAAACATCCAGACAATGTCTGTGGCTTTCAAGGTCCATTCCATGACTTCCAATGCCTAAATCCCTTGTTTTTTTAAACAAAATAAGATTAGTTAAAAGCAATGACATTTATTTGATGGGATTTAAAATACAATTTAGGAGGTTGTTTATCAAGCTTAACGAGGAGTAAAGTGTAAACTAAACAGGAACAAACTTGGCTATATTTTTGTCACATGTTACAATTCCCTCTTTCAATTTGAAATGCTCTGATGAAGGTGAACAACAGATGCGGTTCACTTGTTAGGTCGCAACACCAGGTGGTATAAGCAATGTATTACCCTTCTGATGTATTCAAGGTATGCGGATTTTATTTTGGTTCTTATTGGATTTAAAATTCCTGTTTACTTATTTTGGAGGACGTTGTTTTTCAAAAATTAATGCAGATCCCCATGCATGTAACACCAAAATGTTTTTTTTAGAAAATGAAATTATTCTTTTGAATAGATGATCCAATACTATAATAGCAGAATTGATATCAATAGCCCAATTTCATTGTTATGGATTGACTTCTGTGAGGTAGTAAATGAGTCATTTATGGTTCAATGGACTTTGTAACATTGTTAGTTTGAGACTAAAAACCTAGTGAATGTACATGTTGCACTTAAAATACTAGCAGATATTGTTGCTGACTTAAATGGGACAGAAGCTTACATAAACACAAACTACACAGATAATCTTGAATGTAACTTTGTTTTTATCATGTCTCCCAGGGTTTGTGTGTCTTTTAATTCTTTGGAATAATTATATTCACTCGTGTTTGTTGTCAGTTACTGCCAATTTTGCCCCAAGCACGAAATATCTGGGCTATATTGGACAACTTGTTATTGTATGGTATAACTAATCCTTTTAGAAAGTGCTCTAGGTATGCATTGTTCAACTGAAGCACAGTATTTTTGTACAAATTCAATTGAATTTCTAGAAGGTTCTCTAACACAGCAAATACCTTTTAGAAAATATTTACATAATGATACGATAAGAACTGGGTGCTGCTATACTATCACAGCACTTTTTGATATTTCAGAATTCATAAGTGTGTACAGACTGTTGACAGGATTTTTATAATCTAGGGAAAGGCAGTGTTGTTACTTGCAACAGGTGGAAGCACAAAAAGCATGATGTTTATTCTTTATTGTTTATAATTAGCATGACATGTCTGGCATTCAGCCTTAAAGATGCCTTGACCCCAAACCACATAAAATTCACCAGCTTTTGGTAATTATTTTTTATACTCACCACTGGCGGGGGTTCCAGTCAAATGAGCAAGAAACTATATACTTCTCAGTTTTGTTCTGTGTCCTCCTGAATGAATTATCCATCATGCAGTGAAAAGAAAAATGAGATATGCAAAACTCTTTAAAGCTTCCAGAAACACTATTTAGTGTTTGGCTTTTGTTTTTTTTTTATATAAGATGACTCATTTTAAGAAAATTTTTATTTATCAATTAAAACTTTGTTTCATTGCAACTCTCTACAGCTGTGAGAAAGAAAATTTGATTATTTGCAAAAATATAGTCAATAGTCAGCTAAATTTCAGCTCCAAGAAAGACACTGATATTTGTTAAGTGATTAATATATAGCTGTTAGGAATTTACTGGGATTGACAGGGTTCGTTCAGGTCATGGAAAACCTGGAAAGTCATGGAATTTCAAAATTTCGTTTTCCTGGCCTGGAAAGTCATGGAAAATCAATATGCTCTCTAAGAGTGAAAGGCAATAAGACCCAAAGTTGAAAAGTTAACTGACGAGTCCAAAAATCAGATTTAATTTCATTAGAAATAAACAGAAGCACGTATTGGGAGAGTGTTTACAAACAGGTCATGGAATCTTTCAAAAGGTCATGGAAAGTCACGGAATTTTAGCTGGTCAAAAGTGTATGAACCCTGATTGAGGAACCCCCTCAGTCATATCTGTTTCAATAATCCTCCTTTCTTTTGTATAGGTTAACAAAGCCATTGACTTTTGCTGATTGCGTTGGAAATGGTGAGATTTTGAGCCTTTTTTCCCTGTATTTTTATCCCCTGCATTAGCAAAAGCTTGGTCTAGATAGGCACAAATTTCAATCTAGTTGTGCAGAGTTAAGCAGATGTCCTGAATATTGCAACATCACAATTGTAAGTTCGGGTTTTGTTTTAGTAAATGTTGATCATCTAAAACCCACAATTTTGTAGCTTCTTTCATGTACCTGTGGTGTCTTAACTCTGAAATGATAATAAATAAAAAATGATTAATTTTTAATGTTAGCATACATGTTTATAAATGTAGTATGTTGCCACCATAGAAAAGTCAGTTCTTCCACCAATCAATCTACCATCTATTGCAGAATTACCATTTGGCTGGGAAGAACTCAATGATAAAGTTCTTGGAAGTTACTTTATTGATCACAATACTGGTAAGGGTTTCATTAACTTTTTTTTTTTCCTTTTTGTAATAATACTTGACAGAGTTTTTATTATCATGTTACGCGAGTGCATGGAAGTTATAAGGGAAACTGATTATTTCAATAGACCACTTTCATAAATGGCTGCTGGATTAATATTCTTTTCTTTAAATTTAAATTAGCCTTTCTGTCCTCGTTCTCCAGTACAAAATTCGAAAGAATACATTATCTCAAGCTAGGCCAGAAAGGCTAATTTAAATTTAACAAAAGAATATTAATCCAGCAGCCATTTTTGAAAGTGGTCAATGGGGACACAGTTTTGGCTAGGGGAAAGGGTACAAGACCCTGCATAGAGATGAGGGAATGCTTAGCAGAAACTTTAATTTAGCCTTTAATGATTCCCAATTCAGGTGGTTTTTTTTTTTTTCTTTTAACCATTTTTGATCCCTTCTTTACTTGCAATCCTAAAAAAGAGTTGACTGCAAGAAATATGGGCCTTTTGTCTGGAACAATCAATGCTAGACCAAAATTTGTGATGTACGTGGTCCTCAAGAGGAGAGGCTCCTTTTCAAATGTACCTCCAAACAAAATCATTATTCACAAAAAAATACATGGACCTTTACTTGTCAAGGATCTTACCCATTATTTGTAATTTTTGTGCAATACTTTTGGCATTTATCATTTATTATGCATTACCAGTACAAATGAGCTTGACAATAAATCATGTTATAGTGAAAAATAAATAGTTTCAAACATGACTCATTTTCAGTGCTTTCAATAACATTTGAAATAGGTGGCTATCTCGGTACAACATCCGCCGGAGAGCGACTTGATTGCGACTTAGCGTGGCGACTGCGACTTGAGCGCGGTGAAATATACCCGGCGACTCGCAACAGAATAGCCGCCGGAGCTCCGGCGGGTGCCAGGTCTTATTGAAAGCACTGCATTTTGAAAGAATCATAGACTTCTGAGTAAGATGATTCTCATGTACTCTCTCCATAACATCTTATGTGAAAAGTCTCCCCTGCTGAGGGTTGTGCTTTAGAAAGAAATTTGCAAGGGAGGGCAACTGGTTTCATAGTCATTTGATTGTGTCATCAACTGTTCCAGAACTGTTGCTTTTATTTGTCATTTTGATGGGTACAAATTTGTGTCAAGTTCTGATTTAGACGTCTTTAGACATCCGGATCTCAAATACTTAACAACATGGCACTGTACCAATAAATTCCAGTCCTGTGGATATTTTGTCTTTCCATCCTGTAACCTGACCAGGTTGTTTATTATCGTCAATTGATGTGATCTGCATTTCAATCATTCTTCAGCAAATTTGTTCTGGTTGAGTGCTTGGCTCATCAATTATTTTGATATCATTTGTGCAGAGAAATGTTGCTTTCACCCACAGCTTTTAATGTTTTTTCTTTGAAAAATGGTTGTTACATGTGTTTATTATTATGGGTTTCTCCACTCTTTTAAATATACAAGTCATGTAAACTTATCAGGCCTTTGCAAGAGCCTATAAGTCTCTTTTAAAGATACCCTCTATGTTCTCACAACATCCCAAGCATCACAATTTTGTGTTCACTTGTTAATTTATGTCAAAATCTGATGACAAATTAAACAAAGTGACAGAGTGGATTGTTTTTAACAAACAAACAAACAAAGCAAACCTTTTGATTAAAAAGCTGTATCCATAAATTGCTCGATACATTTCTCTAGTTTTATTCATACCATAAAAATAGCTTTAGGCAAGATGAAATAGTGATCATAATTTGCCTGAAGCAATTTTTAGTTATATAACATTGTGACGTTATGTAATCTCCAAAGGTCTTCACCTTGCAGGTCCACTGGTTTTTGCAAGATGGGTTGTGTGTGTGTGTGGGGGGGGGGGGGGGTTTTTTGGGCTTGTAGAGGGGGGCATTTAGGACAAACAGGAATGTTTTGAATCAATTTCATTCAACTTGTTTACAAATTGTGTCTCGTGATGTTAAATATCTCTTGTTTTTATCCTCTGTTTGCTTGTGTAGGATCACAACAGCATGAGGATCCTAGAGTACAGTGGCGCAAGAGGAGAGAGACCATGCTTTGTGACTATTTAGCAGTGGTACAATCAGACTTGAAGGTAGGAAAAATGCTGCTTTTCACAGATAGAAATTACTGGTATGACAGCTATTTGCTTGTTTGCTCACAGAACTGCACATGACCTAACACATGTGCACACAACAACTGCATGCAATAAAAAGGATTATAACTCAATAGCGAATTTGTTTTTGTTAGTTTCATTAACACAAAAATTTATGAGTGTTTTTTTCTACCCTTTAGTCAAACAATGATTTCCTTAAGTACCATTTACATGCAGGTGGTTTATCACATATAGTTCCCATTTAAAACTCTTTGTAGAAATGGGCTCCAGTCATTTGAGAATGTAATACCATGTTTTGTCAAATGAAAAGGAATAAGTGATGAAAATATATTATTTGATGCTCGTTTGCTTATGAGAGAAAGTAAGAATTCTTGGTATGTGTAAAGTAAAGAAAATGTAAATCCTGTCACACCTTTTGTGATTAACAAACGTTGTGAATTTCAATTGTAGGCAAAGCAACACATGAAAGATGTGAAACAAAAGAGACTAGATGTGGCTTGTGAAGAGGTACAAGAAGATTATACTTGTTTGAAAGAGGATGTGTATAATGTTTCAAAAAAGCATTAAATATTGTGATGAATATGAAGTTTCTGGAATGAATTAAACTGTTTTTTCATTCCTTAATATTTCTTATTTGTCTATAGCTTCAATGTTACTCACAGCCAGGTGATTTAGGAATTTTTTTCAAGTTTTTTTTTTTTTTTTTTAACCATTTTTGATCCCTTCTTTACTTGCAATCCTAAAAAAGAGTTAACTGCAAGAAATATGGGTCTTTTGTCTGGAACAATCAATGCTAGACCAAAATTTGTGATGTACGTGGTCCTCAAGAGGAGAGGCTCCTTTTCAAATGTACCTCCAAACAAAATCATTATTCACAAAAAAATACATGGACCTTTACTTGTCAAGGATCTTACCCATTATTTGTAATTTTTGTGCAATACTTTTGGCATTTATCATTTATTATGCATTACCAGTACAAATGAGCTTGACAATAAATCATGTTATAGTGAAAAATAAATAGTTTCAAACATGACTCATTTTCAGTGCTTTCAATAACATTTGAAATAGGTGGCTATCTCGGTACAACATCCGCCGGAGAGCGACTTGATTGCGACTTAGCGTGGCGACTGCGACTTGAGCGCGGTGAAATATACCCGGCGACTCGCAACAGAATAGCCGCCGGAGCTCCGGCGGGTGCCAGGTCTTATTGAAAGCACTGCATTTTGAAAGAATCATAGACTTCTGAGTAAGATGATTCTCATGTACTCTCTCCATAACATCTTATGTGAAAAGTCTCCCCTGCTGAGGGTTGTGCTTTAGAAAGAAATTTGCAAGGGAGGGCAACTGGTTTCATAGTCATTTGATTGTGTCATCAACTGTTCCAGAACTGTTGCTTTTATTTGTCATTTTGATGGGTACAAATTTGTGTCAAGTTCTGAT